TTGTCGCTACTTGCAGAAACAAAGTCACAACATAAACACGTTATACAAATTCGTCATATATATACATAAATAAACAAAAACCTCTTCTTCACTAGCTTCTTTATATAAATAACAATTACTTAAAATTGATATTAATAAAATGTTCTGGTACATATGTATCACAGGCGTTTGACTAGAAATTGTGTGCTTATCACGTTATCAGGTGAGAGGTTCTCCAACCCTGTCACCTTTGATAATAACCATTTTATACTATTATACTAGTTTTATATTAGTTACCTTGCTGAAATCATCAAACCAAATGAAATCATCAATGACAGCTTAGTTGAAGTAACAACCACATCACAAGAAGAAAATATAAAGTTAATTTCACCTAAAGAAGTAGCACAAGAAATTAAAAATTTACCTGCTAAAAAGACTCCAGGAAATGACCTTATCACTGGAGAAATACTAACAAAACAATTGCCGAAAAACAGTACAATTAAACTAATATACCTATTGAATGCTGCAATCAGACTGAAATCTGTTTATTTTGTACAATTTTCGAAAAACAAGATCTTAATTTCTAGTATATTAGTAATGTTATCACAGCATATTTATAATAAATATATAAATAAATAAATAAATATATATGTATACAGGGTGTCCCAGTTCCTTCTGACGAAACTCAGGGAATCGATTCTACTCTTCATTTTGAGCAAAAAATGTTCATGAGAAAATTTTCGGAAAGTTCTCTATTTTGAAGATATTCGTCAATTTAGGTTTTTTTTTTACTTTTCACTACCTTACCACATAAAAACGCTTACAACTTCCAAAATGTTGAAACTACAACAAATCCAATTACNCTTAGCTCACGTTTTCCAACATTCAATTGTTATTTTTCAACTCTACTAGAACGTTATTTAAAAACCTGGATATATCAACGTAAAGCATATTAGATAAAGAAGTTTTTGTGAAATTTGACAAGTAGTAGGTATTTTTTGTAACCTCAGTAGAAAGTGCAATCATGACCAAAATTTTAAATTTTGTAATTTTGACATGTTCCAACGGAAATTGGTTAACATTTTATGTCATTCAGATTATTACAAATAAAAGTATCTTACAGCAAATTTAGCGTTCTTTCAAATGGTGTAATTGGATTTGTTGTAGTCTCAACATTTTCATGAGGTCATGTACAAATGGGATGTGTCGGTCGTTATGAATAGTATGATATAAAACATAAACGTTAGCTGATTATTCAGAAATCGTGAGATGCGGTCTGGTGTGAAGTAGGTTTCAGAAAAACATTTTCTTTATCGTGCCAACGTTTCGATCTTTATTGAGATCATCTTCAGAGCCTGGGATTTACAAACATTGTTTAAATTTAACAAATGCATGTAGGATGTGGAAAAAAGTGAATTTATACAATGGAAAAAATATATTTTTTATATTCAATCAAATTATTTCTACTTTGTTTACGCAGAAAAGTGAGTAGAGTGAGTAGAAATACTTTGATTGAATATAAATTTTTTTTTTTTCATTCTATAAATTCCCTTTTTTCCACATCCTGCATGCATTTGTTAAATTTAAACAATGTTTGTAAAACCCAGGCCCTGAAGATGATCTCAATAAAGATCGAAACGTTGGCACGATAAAGAAAATGTTTATCTGAAACCTACTTCACACCAGGCCGCATCTAACGATTTCTGAATAATCAGCTAACGTTTATGTTTTATATCATACTATCCATAACTACCGACACATGCCGTTTGTACATGACCCCATGAAAACCCGCTATACAAAAGTTCATCAATCACTGAGCATCCACAATAATCTTCTGCAATAGTACGACGATTTTAACTTCCAACCCAACTAGAAAATCCAACAAGACGAATGAAACCAAATTGACCTTCTCAATGAGTGTGAACGAGTTTCGTCATCGAGCAACTTATCCTACAAGTGACTCAAACCTTTACTTAATACAAAAAATATTTGTATTGGCAAATAACATATACATTTAATTAAAAAAATACAGTTTTCATCAATTCTAATGGCATCAATCCATCTGCAAACAAAATTTAGGATATCGTTTAAAAACAAAAATTTCACTTTTAAACTCCGTTAAGAAATAATTTAACACGTGTAATTGCAATTATATTGCAAAATTTTATAGTGCTTATACTAATAAAAATGTTGTTTAATTTTCTAAGTTCAGTAGTTTTAGGGTTTTTTCTGTTCAATCGTTCGTAATGGGTTTTTTACTAATTAACATTATTTGATTATTTTAAAATATAATATAGACTTAGAAATACTTGATTTGCAAAAGGGTGAAGTTTTATAAAAGAACAATCGTCTGCTATAATTTTATATCATCAGGATTATGTTCACTGGATATAGTAGTTAAAAAATAACATTTATTGCATCAGGCGTTGTAATTAAACATGGCAGCCCGTGATGAATCTTCACAGCTTGCAATTCTGCAATGTAACCATTGCAGGTATTTGCTCGGCTGGGTTTTTTGCCGGCTTAAGGGATTACGGCTTTACGCCCACAGCCGGGTTGTTAGCCAAATCTGTTTGCCCACTCCNCACAAAAACCGTACTATTTTTTGCTCCAAACGAAGAGTAGAATCGATTTCCTGAGTTTCAATTCACATCTCTTCATTCTAATCGTTCAATACAGCTAATCATTCTGCAATTAATTATTACTTAGTTACACATCTAATTAGCGATATAGAAAATAGTCTTCTCAGGACACGACCATTCTGACAGTGGATTCGTCCTCGGAGCCAATAATAACAATAGAAATAACCAGATTTTTTCTTCTTAAAGAAATAGTCTTCTGCCGACATACAGTGACTCACATATTTGTTCACATCAGTGAACAATTTTCTATTATCTCTAGTTTGCAAATTCCGTATTTTTTAATCCAGACAACAGCAATAGGATTGAGTTCGTTGAACTGTTGGTAAACAAACATTCACCCTAATAATCTTTATTTATGTTTATACCTTTGAATTGAGCCAGTTTATTACGAGTCTTCGTGTGAACAGTTTTGTGACTCGGGTTACTTCATTGCAAGTTTCGCAAAAACCATCCAATAATTCGTCTCAAATTTGTTATCAGGTATCATCAATTTAGTTATTTTGCTTACATATTGAAAATTAATTAAGGTTTTTAGTTGAGATGAAAAAAAGTTAATGGCCGGGATTCGAACCCACGATCTTCGGCTAGATTCGCCGCTTCTCTACCACCTGAGCTATCGTGATATTGAAAATATTTCCTTTCCTCAATGGTTATGATCTATTCCGTTTAATTACAGTATGAACCCATTTTCAACATTTCTGAAAGATCAATAATAAAATTTCTACAAGAAGGACTTCCTTATCGTGAAATTTCAAAAAAATATAAATTGTTGTTATTGTGGTAATAACAAAACCTAAAAGATCTTCCGGAATTTACGATAGTTGTTTTAAAAAGAAGAGGAGTGGTCATAAAACAAAATTTTCCGAGGCCAAAAGGCGTTGTATCTACGCTTCAATCAGGACAGGTTGACAATGCTGTCCAAATTCAGCGTAGGCCGCGTGATAATGATAATATGGATGTCAGTGTTGAAACAAACGGAGATGTTTACGTGAGGCCGGATTAAGAGCGACGGAAAGTGAAGAAACCATTGCTGATCAAACAGTGGCTTGCTGATCGTGGTTTTAATGTCATGGAATGGCCCCCACAGTCACCTAACGTTAATCCAATTGAGCACTTGTGGAGAAAACTAAAAAATCTTTAGCCGATGCTGCAGGAGACGCTTCAAACTTCGATCAACTTTGGGAAAAAACACAAGTTGAATGGGACCTAATTGATCCAGAACAGTACAAAAATCTCGGGAGAAGTATGCCCAGAAGGACTGATGCAGTTTTAAAGCCAAAGGAGGACATATGAAATATTAAAGGACTTTCTATGACACAATCAATTATCGTTCTCACACGGTAATTTCTTTTATATTCTATTAATAATCATGATAAAGGAACAATTTAATTTTTTGTGTGTTTTTAGTGTTAAGATAAATAAAATTATTAAAAAAACTACGTTTATTTGATGTCCTACAATTGTTTTGTAATGTAAATAATGATAACCGAATTTGCATTCAGCTGTGAACGAATCTGTGAGTCACTGTAGATATAAAGTTGTAGATATAAATAAATTAAGTCAAAAAAATTATTTCTTACCTTTTTTAAATTTATTCTGTTCTTAACATACTAAGAGGCTATAAAAACAGAGAATATTATTTTAGTCTATATACTAACACACATAATCATTACCATGAATCTAAAGTTACAGCAGGTTTTTTTTTATAATCAGTTTTCCCCTCAAACGCAGTAACAGGCTAAACAAGACAAAATGATTACATTGTTAAGGCTGTAGAAGGTTATAAAGCCCAGAGGCTTTCGCTTTTCTAACACAAATGAAAAAAGGAGTCAGGTTTCAATCTGTTTATATGTAAATATTTAGTCAAATATACTAGTTTTTGATTATAAATCCCAGGCCCTGAAGATGTTCTCAGTAAAGATCGAAACGTTGCTAGTTTTTCTTCTTCTTCTTCTTTATACTAACATAAAAACCTGTGTGTATCTGCTTGAGATTAGCTTAAGACAACCTATTAACCATTAAAACTGTAATAAACGTGTAAAATAGTATGCCAGTTTTGTTTTGTGTGTCAAAGCTCTTTTGGCATTAGTTAGACTCACTAGAAATGACAATTTACTGTTTTAAGTAATTGGGTTCCAATGAGATCAACCAATTTTCCACTGTTTTCTCCGAAACCAATTAGCAGAGAAAACAAACGACAAAAAACGTTAATATAACAATACACGGTATAAAATATAGCCATAATATATTGAAAAGAATAATGAAACCATATTTCACTTTACATCTTTATCCGGCATCAACTTGAGCTTAGACAATTTATCAGCTTTAAAGTACAATGCTTCGTTTGTAAATTGTTCAAAGTCGCTTGTTTGCTTCCAGGAGAGCGGACGGAGGGAAGGTGATTTGTCATCGAAGGGGTTGGAGGCGGTGCCGCGGGGCCTCGGCAGGCTGAATTCGCTCGATCTATCCGCCAACAGGATAACGTCATGGGACGCCCTGGAGGACTTGGAAGGGCTCCAAAGCATCACCCTCGCTTCAAACCACCTGACGGCCGTACCTCAACAGCTCTGGAGCCTCCAGGAGACCCTGGTCACTCTCGACCTGAGCCACAACTCCCTCAGAGAAATTCCTCGGGTCGACATGCCAAAGTAAGCACGAAAATTGATCATAATTTAAGAACAGTGAAGAGTTTACAATAATTCCAACAATTGATATAAAACTAATATTCCGTTTTTATATTGATAATTCAATCTCTTTCTCGCCCTCTTTCTTTCTTTCTCTCTCTCCGTTTACCTCTCTCCTTTTTTCCTCTCACGCGCTCACTCACTCACTCTCACTCTTACTCCAATTTCGTTCTCTTACCGTGAGGTTTATGGGTAACATCGAGGAAAAACTATTCTCAAGTCTAAGCCTGGTCATTCAATATATTGTTCTTTCTAATTTTTGTTTCTCTCTCTCTTGAGATGTAAACTGGCACACCCTATTGATGTAAGCCCCGGTGATAACGCTTTTTCTAATCTGAGCCAGGCTATTTCACCAATGGCGAAATTACCCGGGATGAAGCCATTTGAAGAAGCATCCCCTTTTCACAAGGGGCGTCATTTAGTTTACCGTCGGGGTTAGAATTAGAGGCTTTCCCTTTAAAAGAGATCCGCCGGACTGGAGAATCAATGGAAGGCACAAAGCGATGCCTGCCACGCCGCAGCCCGTCCGGCTGTCGTTCTGCAAACATTAACTGCTCAAAGCAGAACGGTTTTTAGCCCTTTCTGCCCTCGCAGGGCTGAAAGGGATGAACATGTTTCAAAACGGAACAACCTGTCTCTGTGATCTTACGACCTTACATTCAACTGTCCAGCTGTTATAAATTAGATGATAAATTTAAATATACACCCGCAACATTCCCTGTGGATCATATCCACCGTGTTTTATCAGGTTTCAGTCATCTGACTATTTTTATGAGGTCACGTTCAGTTACAGTAGATGTACTTCAGAATTACCAAATATTTTTACCAAACATTCAGGTGTTTTCGACTCTTTTTATTATTTGAAGATTAACTAATTTCGATTGAATTGACTGTATTATCAACCCGTTTCTACCTGTTACTCATATCCGTTGATCACGTGTCATCATCCGTGATACCAATCATGGCCAATTAAGAAATGGACCACCTGTTGCCTTAAGACTCGATTGATTGGTGAAGTTTACAAACTATTTACATTATTTGTAATTGGGTGATGATTTTGGTATGTCAGTCGCACTTCGTTATTTTAACATCTTCAGTTTTCGGTCTCGCTTTTAATTTACAATCAGTGATATTATAAAACATGCCATATTTTAAGGAAAAAATTGATATATGAATTTCTAATAGTAAATAATACGAATCTACGAAAACAGTACAAGTAGTACATAAAGTAAATAGTAATAGCACTGAAGAGTGCGAGAAGCCAGAGTATCTGTCAAACTAGTAAAGTCAAGACAGGCAGACCAGAATTATCGGTTTTCCACCAAATTACAAGTTCATCGCCTCGAAGATCAGATTGAGAAATCTCGCTTTTTTTTTAAATCTAATCATAAAATTATTGCTTATGAATTTGGAGGAGAGAATTGTTAAATGTTCGTGTTAGTCCTTGATTAGTTATAATAGAACATTCATAGTTTTATTTACTGTCGTGTAATCTATTTGATTCTCGGCGACAAATGAAATGGCCAGGGAGAGCTTTCGAAAAATGGCAAAAAGGAAAGAAAATTCGAGCAGTGGTAGAGCAGCGGCGCATTTAGCCGAAGGTCGTGGGTTCGAATCCCGATCGTGACACTGACTTTTTTTATCTCAACCAATATCTTTCATAAAGATTACTTCCATTAAATATTTAAAATTGAAATGCTAGTTGAGATTGTATTTGACGAACCTTGATAAATTTATTTAAAATCACTTGTTTTTTGTGGTCCGCTTGACCAATTAATATCTTTCAATTAATTCAGGGTTTTTTTAGTGGAGATAAAAAAATAGAAAAATGGCAAAAAGGAGGAATAAATTCAAAAGGTGGGGTGGAGATGGGAAGTTGGTGTCCGAGCGGATCGAAGTCACGATGGGTCAAGTGGTAGAGTAGCGGCACATTACGCATTTAGCCGAAGGTCGTGGGTTCGAATCCCGCTCGTGACACTGACTTTTTTATCTTAACCAATACCTTTCTTAAATGTGAATTAATTGAAAAATTTGTGGTGATTAGTGACCGTTTATCGATGATTATCCAGAAATCGTGAGATGCGGTCTGGTGTGATGTAGGTTTCAGAAAAACATTTTCTTCTTTCTGTGTAATTTTCAACAAGACACGCAAGAATGGCACAATTACACAGAAAACAAATACTTTGAGTGAATATTAAAAAAAAATATTTATTTGCATTGTATAAATTCACTTTTTCCACATCCTACATGTTTTTTGATAAATTTAAATAATGTTTGTAAATCCCAGGCCCTGAAGAGATCTCATTAAAGACCGAAATACGGCACGATAAAGACAATGTTTTTCTGAAACCTACATCACACCAGCCCGCATCTCACGATTTCTGAATATTAATTGAGAAATGTTAAATTCAAACCTAAAAAATATAAACAAATTTAAAAAAATATTTTTCTAAAACTGAACAAATTGAACATTTTTTATTTTTTATTTTTTTTATTATTATTTTTTTTTTATTGGCCTTATGATCTTGCATATTAGCCATGGTACGAATTCTTGTGTGTTCAAATTGGGGGTTATCGGGAAAAAAGGGCCAGAGGCGACGGTGGGAATCGAACCCACGACCGCGGCGTGAGAGATTGAACATTTAAAACTCTTTCAAAACAAATTATGGGTGTAATCAATCAAGTTCCTACAGTTCTCCTACAACATTATATTCATATTTTACAGTTCGCCAGTTTTTGTTCTTCAAAAGTGTGCTTTGATTGGAATTTATTGATTGGAAAAATAATTTACCCTGGGGTGATAATTACAAAGCTCATTTAGGGATTTTTTTTGTATTCTTTAGAGAACGGATATTCTTTAGAATTAAAGTTACTCAAGCCGACTTCACGGGGATCGAAATGATGGTAATGAAGAGTGATACCTCGTCATTAGCGAAGGCACAATTGTTAATCCCAGCTTCCGAGATAATGTCCTGGAAAATTGTTTAAAATATGAGTAAGACAATTTGTAAGTTTTCTCTCCGGCTTTTCGAATTTTTCTTTCTTGTTTAAAGGGATTCCATTAAGCGAACGTCTAAACTTTTCCCCTTTAATAATTCAACAACTTGAAATTGACTTTTTAAGAGGAATACAGAGAGAGGGTGCATGTTGACGTGTATGTTCTTAAAACTCTTCATCAACCTTCTGTAAGTGAATATTTTGTATCTTAACACGGAAAGAGAGATGAAGTGAGAGAGGGAGAGAGAAAAAGAGAGCGGGAAAAGAAAGAAAAAACTGAGTGAGAGTGTTAGAAAAGGTATGTGAGAGAGCGAGAAAGAAACTGACTGAAGGAGGAAGGGAGAGATGAAGGTTAGATTGATTGATTGATTGATTGTTAGGTAGATAGATAGATAGGTAGATAGGTAGGTAGGTAGATAGATAGATAGATAGGTAGACTGATAGGTATATAGATACGTAGGTATGTAGATAGATAGATAAGTAAGTAGGTAGGTAGATAGATAGATAGATAGGTAGGTAGGTAGGTAGGTAGATAGATAGGTAGGTAGGTAGGTAGGTAGGTAGATAGGTAGATAGATAGATAGAGAGAGAGATAGAGAGAGAGAGAGAGAGAGAGAGAGAGAGAGAGAGAGAGAGAGAGAGAGAGTATTAGTCTGAAAATCAGTGGTTTACAAATTTTTTCTTCGAAAATTTTTAAAGAATTTTTTAACCATTTGTGTACTGTAAACGAACATAACTACAAAAAATCAAGGTACATTACCGATAACTCTAGCTAATAATTACCATTGGTACCATGATTGGAAATGGAAAGATTAATAGATAAGCTGCAATATATTATTTTATCGCCGATCCTCATAATTTTTTAATTATCCTTACATTGATTCCGTTTATTAATGAAGATGTTTGATTAACTTGATAGCTTGGTTTAATTTACTACCTCCTATCAAAAATACTAAAATTGGCATTAATTGAAATTATAATATGTTCGATAGTAAAAAATCACATATTAAACAACTAAATTTGGCTTGTTCTTGGGTAAATTGTCAATAAGTTATCATTAATTATTTTAGCTATATTAATAACCACATTAAATAGGACAAATAATAAACATAAATTACAATATAAAATCATTAATAAACATTAATAGAATAACACGTAATTAATGAAAAGCGATCTTAAATCAACTTGGATTAATTATCCGTTGTGTAAGAACCTTGTGGTGTTGCTAACGACTGCATGGAACAAATAAGCCCTTATGGTTGGCCTAGTTACTGGCCACAGCCGACGTTAGTAAGGCCCATTGTCACTTAATCTTCCACACGGCTTGAAAACAAAAGGGAAAGAAGGCAAAAGTCAATTACAAAGAGTATAAAAGCTTTAAAGGATAGAATACGGAATACGCTCGAAGATCTATTATAGAGTGCCCACTCAACACGACAGACATGAATGACACATCTACACGGAAAACAAACACTTTGAGCCCTGAAGATGATCTCCATAAAGATCGAAACGTTGGCACGTCAAAGAAAATATTTTTCTAAAACGTACGTCACACCAGACCGCATTTCACGATCTACGAATAATCGTTAACTAACGGTCACTAAACACCACATTTCGTTACTAAAGTTGATGGTGGTTGTTAGTCCGCGAGTGGGTAAATACATTTTGAATCAGCACTGGGGTCCGCCTATCCTCGCGAGTTTCGATTCCACTCACACGCTTTTATGCATTGCACTACCTGTTTCTGAGCCAGCTTTACACTGAAAATAGCCCAAAGCCAGTATGAATCGCATCGGAATCAACGACTATAGACATTGCTTTCCCGTATACCCGGTCGTCCTTAAAAGGACAATAAGGATCTTTAACTTCCGCACCTAGACTTCCGGCCTTATCAGACGTTTTGATTCTCAAGATGAGAGCTGACGGATCTCCGCAAACGACAGAGGTGATGCCGCAGCATTGGTGCA